ATCGTATGAAGGCGGCTTTGAAATTGACTGTGAGTACAACTCGTAGACATATGTGCACATACCTTGTGCAAAATTCACATTCGCTACAGTCTTCCAGTGAAAACGCTGGTATGTGCTGCGAACATGCAACCATTTCTATGAGCAACAGCATGTCCTTTACTGACTCACCAACTCCAAGCAAGGAACAAAGTACCAAAGATCGACCAGCCCTTAGGCCGATCAAATAAATTACAGAAAAAAAAAATAATAATTTGGAGAAAGGCGAGCTACGAATAGGAATTATAATTTTGTTCGCTTTTGTGGCTTTTGGTAAAAAAATTGTTATTCTTGCTGATGTTTTTGTTAGATTATAGTTGTTACTTCAAAGCGTGGAAAACGCATGATGTGGGGTCAATAGTGATATCATCATCATCACGTTCTACATGATGACTAATAATGCATATTAACAAAACAGTGAAAGGGCAGAGAATGTTCTGTACTAAAATATTAGCAATATTATTTAATATAATAGTCGTACTGTGATTGGTAATGATTTTGATTTGCAATTTGTTATTATTATTATTATTATTATTATTATTATTATTATTATTATTATTGTTGTTGTTGCATTTTGTTGTTTTGACACTTTTACAAATTACCACGTACTTTTAATCTACCCGTTATTGTGATTAGTAATAATAATTATTAATAATATCATTATATATAATATTAATTATTATTGATATTATATTATTATTGTTGTTGTTGTTGTTGCTGTTGTTGTTCTTATACTTTTACAGAAGGTGATATGTCAGTTTTCTGTATGTTTGTTCTAGCATATTTTTCACGTTGTTACAATATTTTGGATTTCAGTTCAATTTTAATATAGCGAAATAATCACAAAACAGATTACATTTAATTATTGATTTTCACACCTGGATTACTTGATTGTTTTAGTAGGGGACAAAGTGACACCAAGTGTCTATAGTATTATTTCAATAATGCTGTCTCCCAGATTCCTCTAATTTCCACTTCTTCTTCTTCTTCTTCTTCTTCTTCTTATTATTATTATTATTATTATTATTATTTCTGCTATGGACACACTACCTACCAAGTCTGCGGAAAGACCTAAGGCAGGTCGTGGTGTGTTATTATTATTATTATTATTATTATTATTGTTATTATTATTATTATTATTATTATTATTGTTGTTGCTGTTGTTGTTGTTGTTGTTATCTACAAACCTACAAGTCTCCTCAGATCTTGACAATATTTCTTCACAATCCTTACATATTTCTTCAGTTCCTGATCTGTGTCGTTTCACGGCCAACTTTGATCTACAGCTTCTCAAAGTCAAAGTGTATTAGATTTTGGGAGTGTTCCAATTACTCCAATAACTATGGAAACTACCATCACTTTCATAGCGTTATTTTTCTTGTTATTATGACTATAATCATATCAGTAACATTTTTTTGTTCGTAATTATTTTTGCTAATATTAGTGTTCAGTTTTAGAGATTATTCTTGATTTTTTACCCTAAACCTTATTAGGATTTTTTGCATAGTCACAAAAGTAAAAGTGGTAATCATATTTGGAGATCGAGCGACCACAAGTCTCTGTCTTGCATTTATTATTGTTATTATTCCTAATTTAGAAATCAATATTGTCTTATAGTTTTCCATGGGGATTAAGTGACAACAAGTTTTCTCCAGGAGCTTCCAGATTATTATTATTATTATTATTATTATTATTATTATTATTATTATTATTATTATTATTCTCAACTCTTCTTAGGGAAAAATTCTCTTTAAAGTCTATGCATGTCATAAGTATGTTTATATTTTAATATTGTTCTTTTCTACCTGATTACTTAATTTTTTTAATTTTTTTTTTTGCATGGGCACGCCAGACGCATCCGTTGGTTATTACGGAAGATCAAATGACAAAAGAATCCTCAGATCTCTAGCACATCTCCTTGCCGATGATATTGCTGGTAAAGTACAGACACTCTCAGTCCTTTCTAGAATATCCATATCCCACAGTTTTACCTCTAAAATCTTTGAGACGGTTCCATTAAATCTGCTTAATGGCAAAACCTTACCATCATATTCCACATTTTATTCGATATTCGGGCAAGGTCCTAGTTTTCTCAATTATTATCCTCTTACTCAGACCTTTATATCAAGTGGCAGCAAGTCTCCTCATTATATAACAGTGTTTTTTTTAGATATTTCTGATTCTATCAATGCAGTTGTATAGATGATTTTATTTCTTTGAACTTAATTATATTTCATGCATGTTCACAGATATGTCATCAAATTTAGACTCATATCTGCAGCAAATATTTAGAGTAAGCTTTTGGATGTTGAGGTACAATATGTCTTATATCTCATTCATGATCTTCAGTATTCTTACCGATCAAATATAACAGCATGCTGAACTTCCTCAATCCTTTTTCCAATCAACAATGTCCTTCACTTTTCCTCCAGTTTCACTTGCGCTTTTATGGACAAAAAACAGAAACAAGTGTTCCACAACATCATCAGTTCCCAGGCAGGGTCCTGTAGTTATATATATATATATATATATATATATATATATATATATATATATATATATATATATATATATATATATATAGTAATATGTGAAAGTGTGTGTATATAAATATAAATATATATATATATATATAATTATTTATATATATATACGCGGTACTTATTAAAGCGCTCAATATCAGAGATAGAGCTAACATATTTGGTTAGAGAGATGTGAGGTTGTGACCCTGGTTTTCACGCTTTAGCGATCGTCAGACAAACTCTCTCTCTCTCTCCCTCTCTGTATATATATATATATATATATATATATATATATATATATATATATAATTTTATTTACTTTTTGACATTTTATACTTGCAACAAAAGATGGACAATAATTTTAGCGATTATGGCTCTTCACAAATTACTATCATGTGACAGATGAAGAAAAAGCATCAGGTGGCTTTCATTGGTGAACAAGTTTTAGGAAGTATTCTACTACATCCTTACAGTTATTATTCAAATTAACTCCTCTACTTATTATTGTTTAATATGTATTTATACCTCCCATGAATATAGTTATATACTTCATTAGCTGTCTTGCATTCCTTGGTGTTTTAATATTACAGATGATATTATGCATGATCCATACAATTTTTAAGTATTATTATACAGTTAATTTGTAAAATAATTTAGTTTTAATAATTATCAGAGATATAGTTTCGACTAACATAGTGTTCCTCTTCCTACCATCAAGATTCTAATCTTATTTGTATTATCGTTTGCAAGATTACTGCATCTAGCTTTAATGGTAGTACTTGTAATAGACGCAAACGGATATTCTAATATGAAATCATTTGACACGAGTTTGCATGCAATTAATTATTGTCCATTCTATGCCAATACAAGCATTGGTTATGCACATTCATAGCACATACAAGTGATAGACATCTTCATATATGTTTTTCTCTTACCGCCTATTTGATAGTAATAATCAGTCGACTTGGTTATGGGTCTCTGGTTTTCTTTTCATATGTAAATATATACGTGTTTTTCTATGTCAGTGTTCATCATTCTGCCTCTCTGAAAGTGGATAGAGACACTATTATCTGACTAGTACTTACTTTTTTCATTCTAGTTTTCTTTCTTATTACGTTAATCTAAATTCTTCTGTGGCATCTTCTCCTTCCTTCTTCTACTCCTACCCCTAACTCCCTGCGTCTACTCCTACCCCTAACTCTCTCCTCCCTCTCTATCTGGTTATTTCGACTTTTCTTTTTTACTTTGCTACGTGTTGCTAAACTTTCAGGGAATCTATCCGCATATTAAATCTTTTGGGCGGATTCTTTTTTTCTAATTATATTTCTTTTGTTTTCTTTTTCTTCATATTTAATTTCCTTTTACATTCTCATCCATTTACTTTTTATCATTTTTTTTTATTTTCCTTTGCTTCACACCTTTTACCAACTTTTCCCCTTTTTTACTTTAACTTTCTTTTCATATTTTCTTGTTTATCTTTATTTAATGCTTCTTCTTTTTCTCTTTCTATCATGTCTTCTGCCTGCTTTTATTCACTTTCCTTCTTTTTACCTATTTCTTTTTTACATTGTTTTATCACGTCTTCGCTGACATCAAACAACGTTTTGCCAATTTTACTGATTTCTCATTCTGTTTTTCTGTTATTTTGACATAATATATCCCGACTGTCTTCTGTCTTTCTCTCATTCTGATTCCATCCTTTCCCTATCTCTCCTTTTCGATATATATTTATCTTATTTTTTTCTTACGACTGCTTTAACAAAACGTCCCTGTCGCCGTCGTCTTATTTGTTGTATTGAACGATATCTAACACATACACATCAAACACGTTCAGCAATAATTTTTCCTCTGTAGTTTTTAGCCATCTTTCTCTCATATACAGTCACGCATTCATTCATTCAGTTGTCTGTCTGTTGCTAAAGTGACTTCTATGCATCTTCCTGCTGAACGAACCTTTTACTTCTACGCCTACTCATCATTATCTTTCTTTTTCTGACGCCGACGTCAATATCTTCTCCTGGATGTAATTCTTTATTTCTTTCTCTTCTTCATTTCTTTCTCTTCTTTATTTCTTTCTCTTCTTTTGCCTATTCTCTTTCTTATTCTTCCACCTCTCCTATTTATTCGCCTTCTATTACCTGTTTTTCCTGATTTTTCTTTTCGCTTTTATTTTACATTTATTTCTCTCCCCTTATGATGTTAAGTTCTTCATTGTTTTTTTACTCTTGCACCATCTTGACTACAGTCTTTCTTTCTTTTTTCCACGATATTATTTCAACTTCTTTCGTTTCTTCATTCCATATTTCTTCCTCACATTTTTCTTTTTCGCACACGTATATTGAACCACGCATACACGTATTTAAGCAAACATTTAACTTTATTCATATTTCAAGATACACTTACATATCTCATCACAGAGAATTCAAGCCGACACAGATTTAATCACAGACACGGATTTAAATATACACAAATATTCCCCGCTGGAAAGACCATTTAAAGCACAAATACTAACACACATTCGTATGCACTGAGATAAAACTATACTTGAAAGTGTTTGCTTGTCACATGGTTTAAAAGTTCGGCGAGACTAGGTAAACTTTGTGCAACTGGGAAAATCTTTTCATATTCACCGAACTTCACTTGAATATATATATATATATATATATATATATATATATATATATATATATATATATATATATATATATATATATATATATATATATATATATATATATATATATATATATATATATATATATATATATATATATATATATATATATATATATATATTGATATATATATATATATATATATGTGTGTGTGTGTGTGTAAAATAGAGGTATATATATATATATATATATATATATATAGAATATGAATGACGAGAAAAAGGAAAACTTGCCTTTACCGTCGCGTTTCTTTCTCTGATGGACTTTATCAAGCAAATATATGGATTTTATTTTTAAAAAAATATTTATTATAATAATAATAAATAACTTTATGATATAATTATAATTATGAGAATGATTATTCTTGATTTTCTTAAAATTTAATAACTCTAATAAACATAGCTCAGTCTAACTGAAAGTCAAGGTAAACTATGAAGAACGCTAAGTGATGTAATTTAATGCCTAATAAACGAAGGTAACTATTGTTAGTATTTTTATTATTTTCAATGTCATTATTATTCCTTATTTTATTTCTGTTTGAGAAATTAATGAATATATTTATTTATTTTAAATTTTAGGTTTTGATCTAACTGTTTTCTTTTACTTTTTACGTATTTTTATGATCAAGTATGTTTGCTTGTGAAATATATATATTTTTAAGGGTATTTGAAAGACCGCTCGGCTATGAAGGACTTCACACTCAAGGGAAGTAATAAAAATGTCAGATTAAAAATATTCATTCTTTAGAAATTGCTTCGCTTAGGTTTCCAACACGAAACATAGCAGATATGTGTTTCGAGAAAAATCTGAAATAGTGAACGTGCTTTAAATGCAAAATAGAGCATTCTTTGATACGCCAGTAGTTCCTTCTGCAAAGGGGAACACAAGTTGAATTGCTGCAGGAGTGCAACTTTTCTTTATTATGTTTTCTCGACTACGAAGGAATGGGAAAATAAATGCCGTTTAAATTGAACAAGACATTGACTCAGACACGAGTATCTAGTAAAAATAACGTTTGAAGTAATATTATAAATATGTCTGATAAGAAAAAAAAACAACATCAATTGTTAATCTTTTGTGCCCTGCGTTTCTGAACAATTTTTACTCTTCTGCCTGAGCTCCTTAGTCAAAATTCACAAATATTAGGTATGTAATATTTCACGGTAGATATAAAAATAGTTAAGGTGTTTATCCACCATACAACCGGTGGCTGGGCATTAAAACATTTTTCTCTACCACTGTTCAACTGGTGGATGGGCATTACGTCATTTTTCTCTACCACTGTTCAACTGGTGGCTGGGCATTAAATCATTTTTCTCTACCACTGTTCAACTGGTGGCTGGGCTTTACGTCATTTTTCTCTACCACTGTTCAATTGGTGGCTGGGCATTAAATCATTTTTCTCTACCACTGTTCAACTGGTGGCTGGGCATTAAATCATTTTTCTCTACCACTGTTCAACTGGTGGCTGGGCTTTACGTCATTTTCTCTACCACTGTTCAATTGGTGGCTGGGCATTAAATCATTTTTCTCTACCACTGTTCAACTGGTGGCTGGGCATTAAATCATTTTTCTCTACCACTGTTCAACTGGTGGCTGGGCATTAAATCATTTTTCTCTACCACTGTTCAACTGGTGGCTGGGCTTTACGTCATTTTTCTCTACCACTGTTCAATTGGTGGCTGGGCATTAAATCATTTTTCTCTACCACTGTTCAACTGGTGGCTGGGCATTACGTCTTTTTTCTCTACCACTGTTCAATTGGTGGCTGGGCATGAAATCATTTTTCTCTACCACTGTTCAACTGGTGGCTGGGATTTAATCATTTTTCTCTACCACTGTTCAACTGGTGGCTGGGATTGACGTCATTTTTCTCTACCACTGTTCAATTGGTGGCTGGGCATTAAATCATTTTTCTCTACCACTGTTCAACTGGTGGCTGGGCATTAAATCATTTTTTCTCTACCACTGTTCAACTGGTGGCTGGGCATTACGTCTTTTTTCTCTACCACTGTTCAATTGGTGGCTGGGCATGAAATCATTTTTCTCTACCACTGTTCAACTGGTGGCTGGGATTTAATCATTTTTCTCTACCACTGTTCAACTGGTGGCTGGGCTTTACGTCATTTTTCTCTACCACTGTTCAACTGGTGGCTGGGCATTAAATCATTTTTCTCTACCACAGTTCAACTGGTGGCTGGGCATTAAATCATTTTTCTCTACCACTGTTCAACTGGTGGCTGGGCATTAAATCATTTTTCTCTACCACTGTTCAACTGGTGGCTGGGCTTTACGTCATTTTCTCTACCACTGTTCAACTGGTGGCTGGGCATTAAATCATTTTTCTCTACCACTGTTCAACTGGTGGCTGGGCAATACGTCATTTTTCTCTACCACTGTTCAATTGGTGGCTGGGCATTAAATCATTTTTCTCTACCACTGTTCAACTAGTGGCTGGGCATTAAATCATTTTTCTCTACCACTGTTCAACTGGTGGCTGGGCATTACGTCATTTTTCTCTACCACTGTTCAACTGGTGGCTGGGCATTAAATCATTTTTCTCTACCACTGTTCAACTGGTGGCTGGGCTCTACGTCATTTTTCTCTACCACTGTTCAATTGGTGGCTGGGCATTAAATCATTTTTCTCTACCACTGTTCAACTGGTGGCTGGGCATTAAATCATTTTTCTCTACCACTGTTCAACTGGTGGCTGGGATTTACGTCATTTTTCTCTACCACTGTTCAACTGGTGGCTGGGCATTACGTCATTTTTCTCTACCACTGTTCAACTGGTGGCTGGGCATTAAATCATTTTTCTCTACCACTGTTCAACTGGTGGCTGGGATTTACGTCATTTTTCTCTACCACTGTTCAACTGGTGGCTGGGCATTACGTCATTTTTCTCTACCACTGTTCAATTGGTGGCTGGGCATTAAATCATTTTTCTCTACCACTGTTCAACAAGTGGCTGGGCATTACGTCATTTTTCTTTACCACTGTTCTCAAAGGGCTAATATTTTTTCTTTTCTTTTTACTGTAAATGTTATTTTAGTGGCTACAATTTTTTGAGTTTCTATCATTGTTTCTTTTTTTATTAAACAGTGAAATTAGTGACATGCGGCTTAGATCGAGAAGTCCTGCTAAAGAAAAATTGTACCTCCTACAGAAATCAAACTGGTATACCGTTTACCATCAAGTATACAGCTTCTATAGGCAAAACATCCCGATACCTTTTTGGTCACAGGATGTAATCTTAATAGAGCAAGATAAGCATTACCTATTTAAGGAATGCACATATCACGTGGGGGCATCTATATCTACTAGCTTCCATTCCTTCCACAAAATATCAACAACTGTGACATTTTAATGCTTATTTTTTATTTTTAAGCTGTTTTTCTAATGGAAAAATGCGTATAGGTTCGATCCCTATGTTGATTTATTATTTTTCTTTAGAATTTTTTTTTTTTATCTAAGTGGCTTCTTATAAATGCCATTAATAAAAGATGGGTTAACATATTTTATCTAGCAGCGTGTGTTTTATATCTAATTTAGCACTTCTTGCTGTCAAGAAATATATAGTTTGGATAAATATTTTTTTTAAAATAACTTTTCATTTTCAATCTTGTCTTTTTTAATCTTTATGAAGAAGAGATCATTTTTGTATAGCTTTTATGATTAAACTGATTTGACATCACACTAAAGCAATATTTTTTCACTGAAAGTGATAACAACTTTTTCATTTATATTTTAAAGTCGGAGTAAAAAGAAGTAATCAGTGGATAACAGTAAGTTTACATTTTAAATAATAGATTTTGATAAACTTAAAATTCTGTAAGTTATAATCCCAAATACCGCAAACTGACTAGCAAACCTGCTTTAATTATGGCAATGTGCTTAATACCGATTTACGGTAACCGTAAATTATTCTATAAAAGAAGAAACGACCCCATGAAGAAGCTGGGTAAAAAGAATTGCTCACTCGTACACTGGGATGAATACAATTTTCTACAAGATGATATCAATTTACATTATTAACACAATTTACATTTTTCGTACTGGCGGTTTGGTCTTTATTGTTATATTCACGCTTCAACTGGCGTTCCATAAAAAAAAATGGTCAGCATAAACAGAACCCTACAACGTAACAACTATCCTGGATACATGACAGTAGCCACCAGAAACTAGGGTAGAAACGTACAAGAGGATAACAATACTCAGAAAACAGCCTTGGTCTGTCTTCCCTATGTAAAGGGATTATTGGAAAAATGCAAAGTATCTGTGGTCCATATAACACCAGGAAGAACTTCGCAGTCACCTCTTCCGAGTAAGACTTCTCGTAGAGGGGAACGTGATTAAGGACTGTGTGTACGCCGTCCCATGTAGCTGGGGCACGAAATATAAATGAGAAACGGGCTACTTCCTTAAATAAGATTGTAGAAATACCGTAAAGCCGTAAAAAGCGGAAATAGAAAAATCGGGCATGGCTGACCATATATGGGGAGAAAAGGAGATCATCACTCTTTGTGGGATGAGGTTAAAATAATAGAGAACATCACTTAAAAATACGAAAACTGTATCACTCAGCGTGAATATGACAATAAAGATGAAGACAACAGTAAATAGTTACAATAAATCATCTCAGAAATATGTTGATGATATCATTCTTTTATTCGCAAGAAAAATTTTACAAATTTATAAGCTCTATCCTAATACATTCAACTATTCATTAATATAACATGAGGAAAAAGTACTCATCTCAGAAACT